CATGCAACTGCCGTCCCTAATGCATGACATGGCCAACCCTAGAGAAGAAGCGTACCGTGCCCGAGTGATTCGGTATCTAGACTCAGTCTTTCATGAGTGCTTAGATGAGGATGCTGGAAGACTCATCCGCCAGGAGAGGAAGCCAATCCATGCAGTCGAAAGAATGATGAACAGCACGGAAGCTCTTACTGCGGCCTTCGAATCCGAGTCCAACTACATTGCGTACTGCTGCCAGGTTCATTCCCATACCTACACCTGCATCAAGTATTCTCTAAAACAACTAACCGAACAGGGTGCGGATAAGCCCAGAAGGACGGCCTGTCGATTCAAGGCGCCTTGGAAAATCGTTGACGAGACGGGATTCGTGGAGGACGGCCTGCTCAGGATCCGGCGCAACCACCCGCTCGTTAACCGGTATAACAAATCACTGGCGGTGGGCCTCCGCCATAACCACGACATCTCCATGATCTTGACAAGGACCAAGGGCCTGGCCATGGTATTTTACATCACAAATTACGCCACTAAACTGGATACGCCGATGTGGAACGAATTGCCCTCGCTGCCGACGTCGTGCGACAGCTTCGCGAATCTGCTGCGCTCAGACACCAAGTCTCGGACCATGCCGCCCACGACGGCCGGCGACAGGCCGTGCTGAACGAGAGTCGTCAATTCCTGATGAGAACAGCAAATCGTATTTTCTCTGAACGCCAGCTTTCGGCTGTAGAGGTATGTTACCACCTTCTCGGCTACCACACTGATTTTACCAATGTGCCACATTGGTCCTTCCTTAACCTGACCGCACTATATTGGGCAACCTTTCGGCGGTGGAGACTCCTTCGGCGCCAGGCCGGCGAACTTGCAGACGCGGAGGAGCCTCCCGAAACGATTCCCCTCAGGGAAGGCGGACGAACTCTATTGTACTTGGATGCCTACGCGTACAGAGGTTCTGTTTTGAGAGACTTGTGCCTATATGACTATATGTCCATGATTAGCTTAGTGCGTCGGAGAGATCGAGCTGAGGATGAATCTCACATATCTCTCGACGGGCCCTCTCCCACATGTGACGATTGGATCCAAAAGCTTCGACGACCTCACGAGTACGCCGTGCCAATCTTTCAAGGTTTCATTAGCGACGATCACGAAGACGAGCACCCGGTATATATTAAGCGGTACGCTCTGGATCCACGCTGCTTGCTGCGGGCCAGCTCTGACGTTCTACTTAGCAATTCCGTACTCCATCTAGCCTTATTCATCCCTTGGGAAGACTTCCTCTCCATGAGTCACGGTGACATCACCGACATATGGTCGAACTGCGAAGCAGCCCTTTGTCCCCGCCTCCGTTTCCGTGTCTCCAATATATGCCTTCTGAGAAGGTCAGCCGAGGATGCACGTAAAGACGCAAAGCTCTGGGCCAGCCGGTCGGAGGGTGACGACACAGTGGACGTCGAGTTCCCACTTCATGAAGGTGACAATGGTGAGGAGCCTGCAACAATGGCCAAGTGTCACCAAAACTATACAGCTCTGCTCCAGGTTCTGCAGAATGCCGTACGAGACTCTCATGCTACGAGGATTCCCACGTCCTCCGGGACCTGATCCGGGACCTGTGCCAAGAGAACCCGCTTGAGGAGGGACGGCCTTTGGTCCAACGCCACGAAGGTATCTACGAGCAAATTCGCCGCAACCAGGATAGTCCTCCGCCAATATCCGACCCTGTCTGGTGAGGATGTTCAGGCCGCGGCAAAGGCCCAGGGCATGCTGCATCTTCAACAGCTGGATGAGATTGAAAGCGGTTTCCAGGGTGTCACACTTCCCCCGAGAAGCGCCGACGTAGACGATATGCTTGTTTCCCACTGTGATGTGGAGATCTCCTTTCCGGGTCATGGTCAAGACGTAGTCGCACAGGGCCCTCGAATGTTCCTCGACATCAATCCGGCAACTGGCTTTGTGGAGATGGGCCACATTGCCGCCACCAGCTATACTCTCAACTATCTGCAGACCATGGCTCTTCAACTCGTTTGTGGGTTTTTGGATAGGTACACTACCGATCCGGATTCAGCGGGTCAACATCTTCAATACACCGGCGGCCCAGGTGGTACGGGAAAGTCAAGAATTGTCGATGCCCTCAGGGACATATTCGCGGCGAGAGGTCAACCGCACCTTCTCCAAGTCACCGGCACATCTGGCAGTGCGGCAGCCCGGATCGGCGGGACGACGATCCATTCGGCCTGCGGGTTGGATGCCCATCGCTCCCCAAACAAGCCGCCGCCACCATTCTCGGAAGCCAAGAAATGGGCCTGGAAACAAAAGTTGGTGCTCGTGATCGACGAGGTCAGCATGCTCGGAGGAACCACCTTATACGACGTCAGCCGCCACCTCCAGTCGCTCCGCGACTGCTTGGACAAACCGTTTGGCAGCATACCTGTTATTCTGCTGATGGGGATTTCCACCAGTTCGCCCCGTGAGAGAGACCAGCCTTTTGGTCGACAGAATGCTGGATGAGGCCCACGCCCCTTGCGACAATCGACCATCTCTCACCACCGCGGCTGTAGCCTGTGGCACATGTTCAAGACCGTTGTCCTTCTGGAAGAGCAAGTCCGTACACGAGACGATCCTCAGCTTGGCGCGCTTCTGGATAGGGTGCGTGCCGGGATGCAGACACAGCAAGACCTTGTCCTGCTCAACACGAAACTACTTGACCGCTCCCAAATTACATTCCATAGTGGCTTGCGAGCCATAACACCTCTGAATCGGAACCGGTGGAGCCTCAACATGGAAGCCGTCGTGGACTGGGCACGCTTCAACAAGAGGCATATATCCGTCTTCATCTCGGCGACTCGGCCCACACCTGGCGAAGTGGCACGCTGTCTCGAGAGCTGATCGCCCGGACCATCGAACAAGGGGATAACTCTAGCTGCAAAGTTCCCGGAGCCCTTTTCTACGCGCAAGGCATGCCTGTCGTTGTGAACAAGAACATCTATATTGGTCTAAAGGTGGTGAATGGAGCAGAGTTTGCCGCTGCGGACGTCATCCCCGACCCTAGATACCCAGGCTACCACCTTGCAGACGACGTCACTGTCCACTTCGGACCACCGTTAGGTATACTACTTCAGTCAAAAGAGACAGACAACTTGGCTATCCCTGCCCTCCCACCGGGAACAGTACTCATCCGGCCCATGTCACAGACCCTCGACCCGACCAATTCCCATTTCAGGTTCTTGTCGGCGAGATGTACGCGACGCGGATTACCCGTTGCACCGGCATTTGTCCTTACTGACTACAAGGCCCAAGGGAAAACATTCCTGGAAGTACTCTTGGAGCTGCGAGGAAATCGCGTAATAAACGGTGAGCCTTCCAAATGCGATTTTACCAGTCTCTATGTACAACTATCCAGGTGTACAACGCTTCAAGGTATCAAGCTTCTCAGTCCCATACGACCCCAGGATTTCATCGGCAACAGGCTTGATCAGGCTATAATTGATGGAATGCAGAGACTCAAGGAACTGGCTTTAGAAACGAGACGGGCATACGATTCAAGGCAGCGATACGTAGAAGCAGCGTGAGAGATTACTCTGATGATATATCGGCTTCAAGGCTCATGAAGGGTTGAGTAAGGTAGAGAGAGTGTGCTGTACATGCTTAGATAAATTTACCTCTTGGCGGGCCCTCGGCGGGCCGCCTTAGGAGTAACGTAGGCGGCCAATTTAGTGGTAACCTCAGACATGCCTTCTCCCCTGCAACCCCGGCCCAACTCCAGTTCCGTTCCTCAAGGCATTGGCGGGCCCTGGAAGGGGCCGGTCTCCTGTCCGTCCCCTCCTAGCTATACTTTGGAATACTTTGACGCTATCTCGCCACAGCGCCACAATCGAGCTGCTGCCTCAAGATGCCCTGTTCGCCATGGCAACCTTCAACATTTTGTCTGCGTAGCCAAGAAGACAAAAACGCCCTACATCTAAACATGCTAGAAACGGACGATGAGCCAATTTACCTGGGTACACGAAGCCGCCTGCATGGGTTTGTGGCGCCTGTATCTGTCACCGCTGCGACCACAGGCAAAAACATTGGCTCAAAAGGTACCCACGATTCGCTTCCTTGCCTAACCGATGATTCTCTCCACCGAGCAAACACGGCTTCAGGAACCCTAGGTGACGCAGGCTTGTCCCGCCGTCGTCACCCGAAACCGAAACCGAAATCACCCCGCAGCTTGATGATTCCTTACGAGCTTCGAAATAAATATGTCGAATTGGGCTGGGCAAAGACCTCGGAGGAAAAAAGGCGGCGGCCCGCAGTTTTCGGGTTCTTTGATGCAGCAGGCCGGTTCTGTCGCCGGCTGGGCCGCGGAGTACCTGACTCTCCAATGGACTTGCCTTCATCTGTGCCCATTGCCCATGACAAAATTGCATACCGCCCGTTATTTGCAGGATTGTCGCACAAGCAAGTGCGGACAGAGGTGTTGCAACGTTTGGTCAGAAGATATGGTTCCGATTTGGAACCCGGCGAAATATGACGAATGTCGTCTTCCCAACGGCAGACAGTTCTTCGATCAGACGGCGGGTTCTTGGACTCTGGAGTGTTGTTGCCCTTGGCAGGCTTGGGAGTCAAAAGCTGTCTTTATTTAGAGCTAACTTTCTCTGGTCTGGACATAGTGCACCACTTCTTGATCATGCTCAAAGGTTCTAACGTGGGCAAGGGCAAGGGCACGGGCATCTGGGCCATCGACACTGCCGACGCTTACCCTTCGGCCGGTATCATCGGCACCCACATCATCTCAATCCAGCCAGCGTGGATGCCTCCAAACTGAACCAAGCATGAAGGCCAAAGTACTTCAAAATGCTCCCCCAGAAAAGCACCTCAAACTGCCAGTATTCTCTCCACCCTTCTCCAGCTGTTTGCCCTAGCAACCCTATCCAAGTAGAAGAACCGTAGCGCAGGTACAAAGAAAGAAAAGGGGATCCCACGATGCCCAACGAGAGGGCATATTGGGAACCAGCCGGGCGAGCGACTCAGATGATGTTGAGAGGCGTGTGCCGCATCTTCCTGGGCCTGTGTTGGAACCTACGAAAGGCCTCCTGGATGTGGGGAGGCTCGATTGGGATCTTGCCCTCACCGGAGGCCCACTCGCGGAAGCGCTTGCCATTGTGCCAGGTGAAGGAGGTCTGGCGGTACCCGGAATAGATGACGTATTCCTCGCACGTCATCACCTTTGTGCGCTCGTCGGCCCTGCGGGGCGCTGGAGGGTCATGTAGTTCATCTCGTCCCCTTCTTCCTCGTCCTGTCGTCGCGCTGGGGGACCTCGACCGAGTAGTGGGACGCCGCCCCCCCGAGGAGGTTAACCTTGGCCTTCTTGTAGTTCCTGGCGGCTTCATCGACGGAGCCGCCGGGCACGACGCCGTCGACGGGGTCATCGCCGACGACTAGGTCGGTGTCCGCACCCCTGTCATCCGAGTCTTTACCGTCTTGCGCACGTCGTACCACGAGGGCTCCTAGCGATCATCGACGACGCGGTCGAGGGGGAGAGGCGGAGCGGCGCTAAGTTCGAAGCAGACAAAACAACGGTCACGCGAAACGCCGCAGGGCGAGCAATACGCTATTACTTAGGTAGCGCCTCTTCGTGCCTTTGCTTTAGGGTGCTTCGAATGCTGCTCGAAAGAGCAGTAGGTGTCGCGAAGACCGTCGCGGCACACGTCAACTCCGACGCCCTCATGCGGCGAAAGGCAAGCGTCACTCACACTTCTGGATAGTCCTGGTCACCCGCAGCAGGGAGGGCGAAATGACCCTCCACCACATGATTGAGAGCTCGCAAGGCGGGGACTTCCTGTAGCAGAAGACGCGGTGGAAATCGGCAACGTCCTCTCGTCCGTAAACGCTTGGTAGAACGATTTGGGAGCCAATACCTGAAGGGGGTGGTGGAGGATCGCCGGGAAAAGATGCGGAAGGAAGAACCATTCGTTCCTCAAGGCACAGTATGCAGCGTGTGATGAAATCAGAAGGTCGGTTCGCCATCTACCGTGACTCCCCTATCAGCGCCCGCCAGCACCGCCATTAGTCTTGTTTATTTTGTCGGCAGATTCTTTGTCTTTCGCAACAAATGCCGCTAGGATGGCCTTGCCCTCAGCGGCGTCATCATCCTCCCACGGCTTGAGGCCCATAGACTGCATAAAATTGGTCCAGCCGCCGTATGATTTGCAGACTTCACGCTCGGCTTTGCTCAGAGGAGGCTCTGAAGCTCAAATATTAGCTCTATGGTGTCCTTATTGTTTGGTGGAGGGGAAAGGGTAGGACTGGGAACAAAAAGATCCTCAACTCACGGAGACTGTCTGTGGCTGGCATTCTTGCAGATTATGTTGGACTCACGGTAGAGTACGTGCGGAACACAACAGCGTCTCGAGCGTCGCCAAGATATTTGGGCTGAGACAGGCCGGTAGATGTCTCTGGTACTATGAGGTATTTGGAGGGCCTTGAAGACGAAAGGTAAGGTGGCCGGATACACAAGACCACGTGATCCATGCCTAAGGGAGGGCTAGGAAATGAGGGGAGGGCTGCGTCTCAGATCAGGTATCTATGCCCCTGTTGATATCAGGTTTGCCCCTAGTCTATATGAGGATGTGTTTAATCAAGAAGGATGTGTACAGATAAAACGACAAGTCTCTCGCCCCTCCCTTAGAGAGTGTTGAAATGTCGGAGCGGAAAACCCAAAACCCCGACCGTCCCTCCCTACTTGCCCAGAAGCGCTTCATTGAAAGACTTGTAAGACTAGGCGCGAAGTGCCCTACATACGTATGCACCTCCCTAGTGGAGGCATCTGACACAACGGTCACAACCGCACATCGCCAACCCAATGAGCGCGCACCGCAGCTCATGACGCCGGACACCACGAGAAGAACATCCGGCGAGTGTAAGCTACTGTACTGTAGGCGGCGTTCATGACAAGATCTTGTTGTATAAGAGACGTCTCTTTCGATGCCTGTCACCTCTGGCTGTTCATCTGCGTGTCGCGTCAAGGTAATACTGGTAATACACCGCGCGGTCGATCGTGTATTGTGGATGGAAGGATGTCGTAAAGTGTGCAATCGCGTCCTTTCGGATACTTTCGAATTGGATCTGTCGATAGGCCCTGACGACTCGCAGGAGCCGTTCTTTGCGCGAAACTGAGGCTTGTTGTGACGCAAGCATTGTGTTGTTGCAGTACGGTGCGGGTTGCATTGGTCGGTGGACAGTTTCTGTTCGAGTGGGAGGTCTGCACGAGTAGGGAGGGTACTAGGAGGGCCTAAAAGTCGGCCAAATCCCCGTCCCCGATCCTCAGGGACGGGGGCCTGACCGGGAAAAAGGACGCTGAAACGGAAAACCTCGGTACCTTCATCTCACACTGTTTTACTAAGAAACCAAGGTTCTCTACTCCCCTTGTTTGATGCATACATTTCCCTCACCAAGCGGCAGCATTCAATTGTCCGAAATATCGGCAGATGCATAAGAGAGCGACACCTTAGTATTTTGAAGCTATATTCTGCATAAGGCAGCTGGCGCCCAATACGGTGGGCAAGATTATAGAGGCGACGATCGCACGGCGGCTCGCCGATACTGCGGAGACGCATTACGCGGACGACACTGCCATTCTGTGCGTCGGTGATAGCCTTGATGAAACGTCCGCCGAAGCATCTCACCATGTACGTGAGCTTCTTTCGTGGGGCGCCGCTAACGGGATCTCTGGGATCTCTTTCGACCCCGACAAGACAGAAGTGATGCACTTCTCTCGAACGAAGCCCAAGACGGCGCCGCCGGTGCTCCACGAGTTTGTGAAACGGCCGGATCGAGCGATGCGTTGGCTCGGCGTTTGGCTCGACAGCTCTCTCTCTTTCAAGACACACGTCGAGAAATGGACGGCCAAGGCACAAGCTGTTGCCTTTCATCTTAGGAGACTGACGAACATCAAATATGGTCCTCTGCCGAGTGCTATGCGACGAGCCGTCTGCGCTTGCGTCATCCCCGTGCTACTGTACGCGGCGGAGGCCTGGTACCCTGGTCCGAAAAGCCCGCGCTGGACGAAGCCTTCCAAGGAGGGGCCGTCGGGGATTGGCAAACTCGTCAAGAAGATGAGCAAGGCACTCTACACGTCTCTTCGGGCTATTTTGCCAGTGTGGAGGACGACACCGACGAACGTGCTGCACAGGGAGGCGGGAATACCGCCCGTTCCTCTACTCCTCGAAGGGCGTCGGACGGCCTTTGCTGCGCGCCTTAAAGCTCTCGACGAAGCTCATACGCTCGTCCAGCGCACGTCGCGACCAAAAGCTCCCGTCGTGACCGTGAACAAACTTATCAAGTTGAAGTACCAGAAACAGCCACAGCCCTTCCGTACCAGACTGCGGCGAGCCGACGAAATGCTATCGAGCTGCCCGAGACCTGCTTTACTGCAGCGCGGATTTGCCGAAGAGCAGACTGCGCCTCTGCAGAGTGCATCGAAACACGAGACGGCGAAAAAATTTCGCGACTGGCTTCGGGCACTATCGCCCCGAACTCTTGTTCTCTAGGATATCTATCGTCACATCGTTGTGGCCAGCTTGCCGTAGGAGGTTGTGAAGTCTTGGGACCGCTGGGTGCCCGAATCGACGATGAAGAGTGCGGATCTCGCTCTCCGTGAGGAATGCGATAGCGGCCTCGTTGGTCTTAGGTAGGAGGAACCAAGGATGTCCCCATTTGCGGATAACCGGGAGGTTGTTCGTCCGACAATAGTGTCTGTAAGGTTGTTGAAATAGATGCCTAGGCGATCCATATCAGCGAGAGAGAGGCGGAAGGGAGTAGGGTCTTGAGGATATGGAATATGATCCTTCCGAGAGGTGTTTTAAGGGCGATAGAGCCGAGGGATAGCGGGATGGCTCCGGACAGACAGGTTCGGGCAGACATATTGCAGGGATTATCGCGCTAAGCATGGGTTAAAAGCCATCGCGCCTTGACTACAACCTGAACGGGAATAATCGTTCATCGCCCTTGCTAGGGTGCGCGTCGCAATAAGAATCGCGTTGTTCAGGTTCAATGGAGATCCAGCATCTCGTCCGACGCGAACGCGAACGCGATGGAGATCCAGTACCGCGACAGCCTCCCCGATGATGTCCGCTCCGGCTTCGACAAAGCTGTAGAAGTCCTACCGCAAGAGCATCTCCGCGCTCCTGTTACCGGTGACGAAGTGAACAGCCCCGAGGAAGCCCTTCACTGGTTCCAAAACTATGCATTCACCCATACCGCCATCTTGGTAACGATCCCCTGGATTTTTTGTGACCTCGGGAGCTGGCTGCTTTGCATAAGACATGGTCCAGCTGCGTACCACCGCAGGTCCGTCGAGTAACCAGCGTGGATGAAGGACATTGAGTGGGACAGGCCAGGACCTGACAACAGCCTCGTACAGCCAGTGTCGACAGGGCAGGCCGTATCTGAGTGGGAACTCACACGCGAAGGGTCATCCAGGTTCGTTGAGAAGGCCCAACACCTTACGCTCCTTCTCGAGCTCAGTGTTTTGCCTCCATCTTAGAGCTTTGCTGCCTCCCACTCCGGAGCTAGCTTGCTCAGAACATAGTGTGGAACCTTCCCGATAAGAAGGCGGAAAGCAGCTCGGTCCAACAGCCTTGGGACGTCTGCCCTGCTCCGATCCTCGTCTTCAGTGATTTTTGAGTTAATTTCTTCAAGCTTTCGGCCAGTTTTGACAGGATGCCTGCAGGGGAAGCTGCCTGTTGAGACTGTTTGACCACGACATGGTAGCTTTCGTTCCTCTGCGTGCTGTTACATCCGAGGTTCGGGTACTGTCGTGTGTGCTCGGACAAATTGGCGCTCTTTCGGTTGCCAATTATTCTTGAGATAAAGGCGTTCCGGCTCCCGAATTTCTGCGAGCAGCTCGCCTCGCCGTTCTTCAAGTCGCGCCTCATCGGGAGCTTGTATGTAATCCCAAACGAACCGAAGTAGCTCTTCCCTTCGTTCCTTCGTATATTTGCCCGAGTCTAACAATCGCTTCTTGAAGTTCTCTGCGGCATGCCATTCACAGAGCTGCAATATTTGCCCATCTTCACCCTGAGGATCAGCTCTCGCTTGGGACGCCGCCATCGCGGCAGCGAGCCCTTTGGTTTGATCCCCGAGAACGACTTGAGGTGGTGGGCAATCGTACCAGACCAGTTCTGCCAATTGAGCATTCACAAATTCGAAGGCTTCAGCTGATTCATATGTTATAAAGGCGAAAGCCAGAGGAAATGTCTTGCCTGTGTTTGTGATTCCCACTATGACAGATAAAGGCAGGTGGAGGCAATTGGTGTTGAACGTCGCATCGGTTTGCATGAGGAATCCGCTGACGAATCTTCTACCCAGGCGGATCTGCTCGGAAGAACAGAAGAACAGGTGCTCGAGTACTCGCGCTGTCCGTCGTCCTTGGTCGTCAAGAAGGTATTTGAAGAAGCAACGAACACGGAAGTCCTCGAACTCCAAACAAGTGAGCAAGACGTCAAGCGCTTCTTGACTGCTGCGTCTCCCTTCAGACCGGCTCAGGTTGTAGAACTCCTTTGCAGAAAGACAGTTGCCTAAGCCGTGTTGGTCGAGAATCCGGGTTGATTCAGTTGCTGACAGGCCGGCAGTCCGATGCGCGAGGGCCAGATCGACTGCCGCAGCCCGCTCTGGGATACGGGATCTATGGCAGGCGTAGTGGAAGGGATTTTGAAGTGGCGGATGCGTATGGTACGCGTAAGTGAAACCGACCACCCAGCCTTTTCGCTCTTCTATCCCTCCGCGGCCGCTCCGGATAGTTTGGTAGGAGACATAAAGACTATAAGGACACTCCTTGGCCTTGGTGTACGTAAGCTCCTTCTTTCGGTCCCCTCCCTCTGTGACGATGTCCGGCAGCTTTCGAGTATTTCGGGTACCTCTACCGTGATGGATACAATTCACTCGCAGGCGGTCGCGTACCTTGCTGGCAGTGACCAGAGCGGAACATGGTTCTTCAATCGGGATTGGAGGTCGTTCAAGTACAGGAGCCTCGGCGGACAGCAGGCAGAGGAGTTCTCGAGACTCTTTCGCTTACAGAATGACCGTCTAATAGCAGATTTCCAGGCGCAGGTACAGTCAAGAGCCCTCCTGCCTCCGGAATTGCCGGAAGTACTGCATTCGCCTGGCTTGAAGAGGTTCAAATCGCACGGTAGCACGAAAAGGCGATCCATGACCGGCCGTGAGGCCGCAGAGCATACTGCCGCTCGAGCGGACGGAGCCACTTCGGATTTGCTGAAGGGAGTTGATCAGCTTCCTGACCCTTCCTCGACCCCGTCCTCTCCTTTAGCAACTTCGCCACAGCTTCTTCGGGAAACGAGACGTAGTCGAACACGGAGCACGAAGGATATAGAGAAGGCGACGACTGCTACTGGGAAGTCTCCAGATAGAGCGGAAAGGCCCGAAAGGGTGAGGAACCCGATATGCCTAAGCCGCGGTGCAAGAAGCGGAAGGCTTCAAGGAGGATGAAACGCAGTTGGAACTGCAGCAGCGGCCTACCCAGGATTGTATACTAGTGGATTTCCTTCAGACTGAAAAATGGCACTTGTGCCCGTTCAGGTTGTAAGGATTTTCCGATGATCTGCCGGATCTGGTGATCTGCCGGATTGCGGCGACTTCGCACGCTCAACATCAATCGACAATAGCTCAACAACAACGGTGCCAATTGACGTATCCTTTGATTTCCTGAATCATCAGAAGCAGTGAAAGTCTGGCATATATTTAGAACTTTTATCTAGGGGCAATGCGCTGCGGTGCTGACATCAAACCAAGCAACGGCCAAAATAGGATGCCGACAGATTGTGTAAGTCATTTCAGCCAATACAGCAAAAACAGAACATTATTGGCTTTCATCGTAGGCTTTAATCATGTGGGATTCTCCCATTCTATCCATAGTGCAGAACTTGGCTCAGGATACTGCAAAAATGGGGTTGGAAGGGCGAGCTGGATAACTTCATTCTACGCACCCGTAATGAGCCAGATTGAACGTGATTCGACGGTACAAGCATCTTCTGAAAAGAACCTATCTATGCATCTGAATGTAAGGTTTATTTTTAGCTTGAAATTCAGTGCGCGAGGCTCCTTTCACACCTGACAAGGAAAGACGTGCACGAAAATTGAGAAATTCGACACCCTACCCTAAAACACGTATAACATGGATGAAATGGGCTTTCTATTCCTTATGAGCATTTGAACGAACAGGGTATTCCTCTTATTATAAGAAAACAAGGCAAAATTGCTCGGCGTATTAAAAAATGGCAACCCATCCTCCCTTACGTTCAAGATGTGCGTCAGTCAAGAGATGGCATCGCTGCCCCATTTCTCATCCACCAAGACAAGCCAGCACAAACTCTGGACTTTTGGTTCGTGAAACGTGAATCAAGTCGTCAATAAATATTTTTAACACGTCAAAAACGAGGTGGACGAATCACAATATTGGAAATGAGCAGCTCACCGGTACGTTCGACCGGTTTACCAGGGTGAAAGCTCGAAACGGTTGTGCTTATCGCCTTTGGTTCCCGATGGCCACTTAACCATTTTAGTATCGAATTTATGGAGTGGTGTGACCGGCACCGAGTGATCGTTGTGGTGTTTCCCCTCAATCCATTCATCGGCTGCAACCCTTGATGTATCGTTATTCAGCCTCTCTCAACAGCGTATACGCATGATCTTATCCAGTACACAGACAAATCAAAAGGTTCATTGGATTGCTGAAATCGAAGATCTAGACTGTGTTTTGGAACGCATTTCAGGAAGTAGTCGAGAAGTCCTCTGTTGATGCTGGCCGCAACAGCCGAAGGCTGAGCAGCACCCTCGGGAGCCCTCAATATGAGTTTTAAGTGCTTGATATGAGAGTTAAAGTATGCAGAGAACAAGTAGTCACAAGAACCAGCGCAGGCAGACCGGTAAGGCTTCAAAGATGATCTCTTCTGCTGTACAGATTCTAGTGCAGACGAGGTGTTTAGCTCTAAAATTGTGGCTCAAGCTCGCCAAAAAATGACAGTGAAAGGACTCCAAAAGAAAGAGGAGGCTCTGAAGAAGGAGGCCCGAAAGCTTCAGCGACAGCAGAAGGCAGCGGAGCAAAAGCTCTCGCTCTAGAGAAGAGGAAGCAATGAGAGGCGGAAATTGGGAGAAAACGACGGATGACGGAGGCCGTGAAGCAAAATAAGGAGATAAATTGGCATTATTAACAAGAGCTGAAGATTTTGAAAGTGGAAAAGCCACAGAAAATGCAGAATGAGCGACGGGTGGCTTCTGAGGGTCGCGAGAGGAGTCAGGATGTTCACGCTGCAAAAATTGTCACTCTTCCGTTCACACCAGAGCGGGCCATAGCATTGCAGGTACCAAACACACTATATAATAACGCAAATAATAAGGCAATGATAACTTCAAACGACATATCCTGTCCTCAAAGGCCCTCTTTAGCTGTTGATAGTGATCGGGAGGCAATGGGTGCATTTCGGGGACTTGCGCGATCGGAGAGTAACAGAAGACGACCTCGATGGCTGGATGACTTCAAAAAGATTGAGTGGCATCTTTGAGCATTATTAACTGCTCTTATAAGATTTTAGAACAATTCAAATAGTATTCGTGAAGTTATTCTCAGTTCTTTGCTGGAATGCAATGAGCCCAAAATCCGGCGAATCGCCAGATCCGGCAGATCACCGGAAAATCCCTTAGTCAAGGCGCGATGGCTTTTAACCCATGCTTAGCGCGATAATCCCTGCAATATGTCTGTCCGAACCTGTCTGTCCGGAGCCATCCCGGAGGATAGAATGGCTTCGCCGTTGCCGAATTTGATAGAAGCTTGGCCTGCTGTAGTCTTATCGAGCGTTATAGCAGGGTCTTCTCGTTGTAGAGCGATGCATTGGTCGTAGCCAGCTGTGGAGACCTTCGCGGCGCCTGTGTCAATTATGATGCCCTGGAATCGGAGTCTTGAGTAGCGCTCCTCTATCATGAATTGGGAAGCAGGTGTAGCGTTGTTTTGAGAGGTGCTATACGTCTTCCCCTGTGATCAGATGGTTGAAGGCTTGCTGGCAGAGCATTTGGCTTGTGTGCCACTGTTCTGGGTTGTTGTCATTATCTTCATTGTCGTCCTCGTCCCAGGGTCGTTAGCATCATCGTGGGCATCCATCTCGTGACCTTCAAAGTCAAGAACGTAGGCTGTAAGGTCCTGGGAGGGTAATCCCTATGAAGTGACAGTGGGCGACGTATTGGTCTCAGGATCTTTGACGTTCCTCGGCAGTGTGCTTTGTAGACCAACATCCTTCCTTATTGCAGACGAAGCACTTCTTATTCCACGGGTGGTTGTGGCCGTAACGGCCT